ACCCCCCAAATAAACAAACCCTAAAAGTGTGAACTACAAATTTCACTAAAAGTAATTTTACCCACCCATACTTGTTAACACTGTTAGGGGGAGTTTTCTGATAAAACTTAAAGTTAAAGGGATTTTCTGAGAATCCTATACTTAAGGGGGGTTAATTTTAAAAGTTAAGGGAGGTTATCTGATAATCGTCCAAAGTGAAGGGGTTTTTCTGATATTTAGCCTAAACCGAACTTGTGTGACAAATCAACCAACAATAGTTGTACGTTAGTTGGAAAGCATGCTACTATGCTGCTATCATAGCCACCAAAATTTGAAAATGGTTTCTTTTCTCAAATGACGAAGCTGTGCGCTATAATTAGCAATGTTTTAAATTTCTGCTGATAAACCGATATTATCGGTGATTTATTGATTTTAGGGGCCTTCCGCTATGATAAATTCGATTTTAAATCAATTATCATTTTTGGATGTTTATCGCCAATAATGCATCGATAAACTGAGTTATCGACCGATATGTTCGGCCCAAAAATCGGAATTACCGGCCTTTGGTTTTGAGTTTTGATTTCGTGCTATAGACACCTATTCAATGCACTTTAAACCCGACTCAACCCGAGTTTCTACCATTGGTTAGTGATCCTAAACATAATTATTTACATTTTGGTATGCTTGTATTTCATTAAATATGGCTAGATTACATTTTAGAATATTGTGTTATATATATATCACCATCTGGTAACATCATTCCGAAAAATAATACTTATCCTCGATATATCCTCGATATCTGCTATCCGATATGGATTTTAACAGTCTGATAAATCCCCAATAACTGATATTTAAAACCTCAATAGCCATTCATGCCTCAACAATAAATAACTTGCAAGTTGTGCATCGCTGAGTGTACTATGCCATAAGTGAAATTTTGAGCACTCAAATTGTTTATACATCTCCTTGCTAACACTTGAGCTGAAGGCATAGTTAAATCTTTGTTGCGAGAAAATTCATGAATCTTTAATTTCTGCATCTTACCTTTTTAAGAGGTTATAAATTATTTCTTAGTTATGTTTAAATTAACGGGAAAGATGTCCCATAATAGAATGGAATGAAAGAATATGATTCATGTAGCCGACCCCAAACATTTGAGATAAAGACTTTGTTCTTGTTGCTGCTGTTGCTGTTGTATTAGTTATTTCTTAAGAATAAAAAACAAATAATTTCAATTAACATAAATTGGTCCAAGGACAATTTTCATATAGGATGGTTACCCGTTACCTAATAAATGTAATAGGTATAAATATGTAAGGGGTATTGGAATGTGTCTATTTCATAGAGAGAAATAATCTTAAAACACATAAGAATAAAATAAAGTTCAATTACCTAGATGAGCACAAAAGCACTAGACTATAAATTTTATGCTAGAATCACATTTAACTTATCACAAAATTCTAAGTTAAGATCACATTTAACTAAACCAACAAGGTCCAAATCAACATAAGGATTGATTTTCTTAGGGTGAACATCCCAGTAAGGACTGCATGGCCGACAAGTTCTTGTCTATGTCCATCATGTTTTTGTCCAACTTTCACGAACAAACATAATTAATTGTTTAATCTTCCACGGAGTGTAATATACAATGTCAATATATGCGCTACAACAAGGTTCATTAAGTGATATAAAAGGTCCATAATACTCACATGGTTAAAATAAAAGATGTCCATGTGAGACTAAATTAAATGCATGATTTATAACTCGCTATCAGGAAATGTTGAAATGATAAATATGCCACAATTAGGCTCAATAATGATGGATTGACATTGAAATTGTGCGTGATATTCATATGAGTGAAAATAAAAAATGATATGGTAGAATAACTGCAATGCATGGTTTAGCTCTACAATTCTCTCTAAAGAAAGGCTAAAATATACATTAAGCTTTCACTACATGTCCTCTACGACTTCATTTCCATTGCCTGATATGATAATATATGACAAAGGGCAAAATACTCCAGCAGATATGTACCGTTCCACATTATAAAAAAAAAGTCAAGTTCAAAATACTATACAAATACACAATCCTACATAAAAACTATTAGACTAAATGAAGTTTATCTACACAAAATAAGATTCCAATAAAAAAAATCAAACAACAAACTTATGAAAGAAGCAATGACACTGGGTAAAGCATAAGTCTTTAAGCATTTTAATTCAATTCAGGGCTAAGTGACTGACAAACAGGTCAGTGCATCATTGCATGATATATACAAGAAAAAACTGAAGTGCGATCTAAGGATAGGCATCTATAGTGGTATAGCATATTGTAAGGCATGCATGACCTAATCAAATTTAACATAATGTCACTTGAAAAGCTTGCATCAGATATACATATTCACTTAGAATAACAACACTAACCCGGTGCCTATGTTTGGCTCCCTTGAAATAGAGAAGAGTATGTCGATGCTGATTTTCTGATAAGTGCAATCTCGGGAGGAGATGGGCATAGGGTACAATCACATCCTTAAGCAATGAAACTTGGGTGTGTTGTATCATATGGGAAGAGTTACCATCTGATGCCTTTGAATCAAGCTTGTACCAGCCGCCAAAATCAACCACCAGGAGAACTGCTGGAGCAATCTCTTTCCTGACATGCCACATAGCAACTGGGTCTGTCAAAGAACTTTTCAATTTTTAACTCAACCTGACAATCCAAAGCTGAATTATAAGCAGATAATTTAAAAAGTAACATTAGCATGAAACAACCTAGAAAAGTAAATTTCCAATATGTAGAAGAAACATAGGGCGTGTTTGGCAATTTCAAAAGAGGATTGAGTTCGAATTAGTGTTTGCTTAACTAGGATAGAGTTGAGCCATATTGGGGTCTGTCCAAAAGAGAGCTAGTTTAGAGGTTAAATTTTAAACTAAAGAAAACTACTTCAATTTTGGTCCAATTATTGCCAAACTAAAAACTAGCTTTTGGACCAACAAGATTGTACCCACTAAAACTAGTTTTGTGGTGTTGCCAAACAAACCCATATACTTATCGTCAAGTATGTCTTGCTTACTAATCCATCTGTGTTTTGATCAACTAATTGAGAAACTAATTGCATTAAGGAGGCAGGTTTCTGGAAAATAAGTTACAAGTATTTGGTAGGGAAAAGATATTTGAGATATTTTCAAGTATTTGGTAGGGAACTTAAGTTACAAGTATTTGGTAGGGAAAAGATATTTGGAAAGGGAGCTTGTATGTCATCCTATATGTACTCCATTAGTAAACATTAACTTTAAAATCAAATCAAAAATTAAATTGTGCATACATATGATTTAATACAACAATAAAAAGGTGCATCAACCCAAATTTGCACTAACGACATTGTTAAACAATTTAACCACTCAAACAACTAGAAACTAGCTAAACACATACAAAGTAATGGGAACAACCTCAATATTATCTTAATTGAACTGATCAGACTACTTGAGCAATTAGTTGCATTATGCACCCAATAATGTTTAATTAATTGAACAAAGCACAATTCAATTTTCTCAATGGCAGGCATCCGTCTACCAACAAAAAGTAAAACTTATCCAAGTTAAGCTAATTATCACAGGAAAGGGAAGATCTTTATACCAGTTAAAACGAAGACATGATCTCTCCCTCCAGATCTCTTCCAAGCATCAGACCCCATCACTCTATGCAAAACCTCCCTCTGCCTCCTGAAATCCCCATTCTGCCCCTCATCCTTCTTCAAGAACCCTCCCTTCTTTCCCCACCCGAGCTCCATCTCCGCACTCAGCGTCGCAAAGAATGGCACGAAAACAACATCATACACATCCTCAGCTCCCCTCACTCTCTCCGCCACCGAAGAATCCGATCTTTTCGCCGCCGGAGTCTCGAGATCGCCGAGGAGCCAGTACTCGGCGCTGTACTGCTGGATCAGAGGGTTTGAAGGGTACGGAGGGTAAAATGGGCGGTCGGATTTGATCCGAGGTCGGAGATCTGCATCGGGATCGGAGTTGATTCGGGAGTCTGGGGTTGAGAGAGACCAGTAGAGGTCGAGGAGGCCGTAGTTGAAGGATCGAGGGATATCCGCGACGAGGACTCTGAGCTTGGGGAGGGAAGAGTTAGGGTTAGGGTTTTGAGTTCGCAGTGAGGGTTTGGGGATTAAGAAGAAGAGGAGGAAAGAGAGGAGAGAGAAAAGGAGGAGGAGAGAGATTGGCGATCGGAGTGACGCCATTTTCGGTTCTGGGGAAGCTGGAGATGCTGATCTGCAATTTTGGTGAAGCTCTTGAGGTGAGTCAGGCGTGCCGCGTGCGGGAGGGCTGCAAACGGATCGGACATGATGTTCGTCGTGTTCGATTCGTTAAATTCACTTGAAAAACATTTTCACGAAAGTAATTCTATATATATAAGAAAAATTGTGGCAAGGCCCAAGTTTAAATTAGCCCAGGTGGCCAGGCACTCAGTTTTTTGGGCCTTGTGTTTCGGCCATATAGTAACAGAATTTGTATCAATGCCCTAAATAGACTGTCAAATAAGCAGTTAGAGAAAAGCTCACCTAAAATTACTTTCATTCCCTTATGACATGACACTCACGAAATTGGTAACTGCGCTCATATCCCCCATCAAATACTCTCTCCCTCACTCCCTCTCTCTTCCACTGTTAATAGGAACCAAAAAAATCCCAAATTCCATTTCTCCCTCTCGAATTTCAACTTAGAGTTAGGGTTCGCGCAGTGAGAATATCGTCTAAGGAAGTATATGATCACGATTTCGAAGTTGTACGTAGTAGTGGACAACAGGGGCAAGACGACGACGGTCGTGAAAGACGGTCTAAATAAAAAAATAAAGCAAAATCTTTGTCAAAATTTCACTTAAGTTTATAGGAGCATTACTCAAAAAATTGGTGGAAAATATCTTTATACACTTAAGTTTATAAGAGCTTTACTATATACATATACATATGTCGGACGAAAAATTTAAAGGAAATAATGAAAATTGAAAACTATAAAATCTCTCTAACTGATTTAGACAAAGAAATTACAATCTCTCAAAATGTAAAGACCTCTCTAACTGACTTAGACAAAGGCTATTACAATCCTTTTATTGAATTCCCGATTACAAAAGAGAGAAAGATCAAAGGAGATCCTTTCCTTTGTTTAATACTGGATCCTTCATGATGGCAGTGAGAGCTTGAATCTTTTATCTCGTTGACGATCTGAGCACCACACTTGATGAAACTTCAGTCGTCTCTAACTTTGCTTCGAGAGGAACTTGCTAGGCAAGTTAAACTTGAGCCGATCTTCTTTACAGAACATCTCAATAGTAGAAAGCTAACCTTCCTTCTCCCCTCCCTCTTTTTGTTAGTTGTAACCAGCTATTTATAGGGTTTAAGGGATGTAACTGACCCCTTAATTTGCTCCATAATGGGGGCTTAATCGCCCCCATTAAGTGGAGAACGTTTTTGGAACCATTCAAATGATTTGAAATGGTTAAACGCGAAGTCCGCGTTCTAACGTCAATATGCGAGGATCGACCTTCGCGTTTGGCTAACGAAACGTGAGGGTTACGTTTGGCTTCAGAGATGAAAAGATCGTCAATTTGTAATCTTTGTGTAACCTCTGCATCACCTCTGCATCAAGTCTTCTCATAATACATAGGTCGTCATCTCATAACCCTTGTACTCTGGCTTCTGAAGATGTGAGAGTTGTCAAACTGTAACTCTCGTCTGTTGTCTTGAAAGTCGTCAGATTGTTTTCATCGTTAGTGTTTTATGAGGATCAGCTATCTGCAGTGTTTGGTGGAAAATTTATAGTAAAAAAGAATGAAAGAAAATTGATTTGTATTCTCTCAATCTTAATTACAATTTGGATTTTCGATTACAAAAGAGAGGAGAATTGATCTGGATTTTCCCCTTTGTTTAATTCTGGGTTCTTCACGGTGGCGATGGAGTGCCTCCCTCGAATGCTCGCGTCGAGTCTTCACGGTGGCGATGGAGTGCCTCCCTCGAATGCTCGCGTCGAGTTTGCTCTCTGTTGACGATCCGCACGTCTTGATTCACTTGCCTCCCTCGAATGCTCGCGTCGAGTTTGCTCTCTGTTGACGATCCGCACGTCTTGATTCACTGGAACAATATCTCCTCTTCACGATTTGACGCTGTGGAGGACTTGCATGGCAAGTTTGAAACTCTTGATGAGTTGATAACTCTGAACGAGTTTGAGACTCTATGAAAGAGCCGGTTTAACAGAAAGTCGGTTATAAGCCAAGAATGAAGAAGATCCTGTTGCCGATCTCCAAATCTCCAGCCGAATGATGAAGGATCCTCTTTTCGCTGCCAAGTCCCAGCTGAAGGATCAGAACCAAAGGATCCAAGCCGAATGATCCGAGCCCTCTACTAAACTGATTTTTTAGTTATTTATAGGGGATTAAGGGGTGTAACCGTCCTCCTTAATTCGCTCCTAAATAGGGCTAATGGGATGTAATCGCCCCTTAAATCACTCCTGAGTGGAGTTGTGATCCCCTCAGATCATGAGAAACGGTTTTAAAACCGTTCAGCTTGTGTTTGAACGAGTTAAACACAAAATCCGCATTCTGGCGTGAATTCTACATTCAAACCCAGTGTCTGGAAGCTTGAACGCAGCGTCTGGAAGCTCGGACACAGCGTCTGGAAGCTCAGACGCAGCGTCTGGAAGCTTATTTGTAGCAATTAGAAGCTGTGTTTGCAGCGATTTGGAAGCTGCACTGGCAGCTTGTTAGAAGCTGCGTTGGTAGGATTTAAGAGCTACGTTTGACAGCGGATAGAAGCTGCGTTGGCAGCTTTTGGAGGCTGCGTTTGCAGCGAACATGAGCTATGTTGGCAGCTGGGTCTGAGCTGCGTTTGGCAGTGGATGGAAGCTGCGTTGGCAGCTTTTGGAGGCTGCGTTTGCAGCGAACATGAGCTACGTTTGCAGTGTTTGGAGCTGAATGTGAGTTGCATTTGCACTGTGTCAGCGGCTGTGAACGCGGTGCGTCTTGATGCTGGTATGCGGGGAGGACTTTCGCGTCTTGATTTGAAGAGACCGTTGATTTGTAGTCTCTTTCTGTCAAAGCTTACAAAGATCGTCATTTTGTAATCTTTGTTTTAGCTCTTTGATATGTGAGAGTCGTCAGATTGTAACTCCCGATGTTGATTGTGAAAGCTGTTGATTAGATCTTTCATCAGTTGTTGTGAAGATCGTCAGATTGTAACCTTCATCAATCTACATGAAAATATTCAAATTATAGTCTTCTGGAAGCCATCGAATTGTAACTTCCATCATTAGTGTTTGATGGGGATCAGCTATCTACAGTGATTTTTAGACAGCCTACATGCAGTAATTTTTTAGACAGCCTACAGAACCCCCTCCAAAGTTTTTAAAAGTTCACGGTTGACTGGAACAAATTTTCAAAACACTTTGGATATCTTCTTTGTATGATTCTAAGAAATTATTGCTCGTCATTGCTTTGATCTTTGAGCAATTTGATACGCGAGATCCACATGACATTCGCATTCTGCCTTTGCCCACGTGAGTCTGACCTTCGCATTTTGTCTTTACAAACACGAGGGTGATCTCTGACGCGACGGTTATATCAAGCGTCACAATTTGACAATTATGAAAACACGAAGATCGCGTTAATCAAGATCTTCTGCTCGATTCTTGAGCGTAAAAAGCTGATGGCTAGCCATTTATAAATAGACCTCGCGGTCATTTTAGAGTCAAACTTTTTTCTTGACTCTTGACTCTTCCTCTTCTTCAAACGAGACCTCTCGTTCTTCAATGACCTTGTCTAATAAAAAACTAGCGATATCACCTTCTTCTTCTTCGTCGTCTTCATCAACTTTATGGCGCCCCGACGACCTCCATCCAAGTCGAGGAAAAACATTGGTGCATCTCTGAGTGCACCGATGGAAGAGACAAATCCGCAGGCGCTCGACGCCACTACCACCGCCATCAGTGCGGCCATGGGTCGGATTCATACTCCAATGATCAGGTGTAAGTGATTTTAACTAGCTTAGTTGAGTTTTCGAACAATAAATTGTCGTTTCTGGCGATGAAAGCTTCGGCTCTGGACTCCTCAAATAAGTTTGTTGGAATTCAACGCGATTTTCGCGTTTGAATGCGAGGTTCATGTTCAAACGTGAAGATCGCGTTTCAAATGGAACCTTTGTGTTTGAATCGCGAGGGGTCGCTTGTTTAATCAAGTTTTAGACTTGTGCTTTATCTAATCTTTAGATTCTAGCACTTGTCTTTTCATGTGTAGTGTGTTACTCAAACGCTCCTCTTTCCCACCGCCATTACTTTGGCCATGAGGGCAACATGGATGCCAGCATCACTTTTGGACTACGTTAGACCCTTCCTATATTTAAAGGCCAAGATGCGGAACGTGCTGACAAAATCTCGAGAACCATTAATGTGTTTTTGACTTTTGCTAATAACAAAAGGGGAGAACTGAGTGACATTTGAGTGGTATCTTATTACATGCGTGAGTTTTTTTAGTTTCTCAAATAATTTTTTGAAAACTCGAACATCGTTATGGGGGAGCTTCACAATACCTGTCCTTTCATCACACTTTTCATGTATGCAAGGATATAGGACGAGTATTATATATTATTTCCTACTTCGTGAAAGTATATGTTTGTTTATTTGTTGTCTATATATACCTCAAACATGTATTTATTGCAATATTTCAAATTCTAGGTTTGTTATTGATCAAAAGGGGAAGATTGATAGGATGTTGTCTCTACAACATCTTCTATTTGAGTAATAACAAATATTTATTTGAGACTAATCTATGTTTGAGATGACCTAGTATAGGTATATATAAGTATACAACATGAACGAGGCCAAACGAAGCGAAAATTAGCTCAAAAAAGATAATTTCAGGGCTTTAACCACCAATGGTGCACATCGACCATCGTTGGTGGTAAGGAGACCATCAATGGTTCCTTATAGCATCAATGGTGCAAACGTCTAGAGATGTCCACATCATGGATGACGTCACATGATCATCGAAGATCACTCGACACGATGGTCGAGAGTAACCATCGATGGTCAAGTTGGCATATTCAAATTTTTCATATTTTAATCTCAGTCATTTGTTGCAAGTCAAACCCCTATCCTCTTCTATGTTTTTTGTTATTCTTTCTTGACCTAATTAAAAGGAAAAAATGAGAAAAAGAGAGAGGAGTCTAGGGTTTGAGTTTGGTGATCAAAGAGATCTTTTCAATCCCTTGTAGTCTCGTCAAACACTTACTCTTTATCTGATTAGTTTGCGGTGACAGAGAGCTATCCTTGGAGTCCATTTTTCATCCATGTTATTCATCAAGCATTGCTTAGATA